TGCTTATCCCTAGCCTAGGCACTCCTGTGCCTACAAAGAAAAAAACTCCTGCGCTCAAGAGAAGTGTGTTGGCACAAGTGAGCTGACAGCCTAGTAGATGACCTCAAATGTTCCAATCATGGCACTGGCTTTGCTGCCCACCAACAGGTTGAGGAAACCCATATAGATAACTGTAAAACACAAAAGAACAGAGAGGGCACACCAGTCTAGCACATTACCTCAGCGGTACCTTTATTTTGTATAAAAAAAACAGATGTAGACTACCTCAGAGCCAATTTAGTTCGCATCCACTGATGGGGGCTGACACTGGACATCATGTGACCTTTCTATCTTTCCTATAAATGCATGAGTTTTGTAATATTCTGAATTGGCTCTGAAGAAGAGGGGATCACCTCGTCAGCCTTGGTATCATCCATCCCTCAGAGGGACCAGTCCAGGGGACCAGACCATCCCTCCTCTTTGGATGGTTTATGTCCCTTTTATTTTATGTCACTTGTGAGTATACATCTGTTTTTTATACAAAATGAAGGTACCGCTGAAGTAATGCACTAGGCTGGTGCGCCCTCTCTGTTCTTTTGTGTGTTGCACTCCTGTGCCTACAGCCACAGATGTATATTTGCAGTATGAATCTAAGAAACAGCTACCTCTGGCAGCTAATCTAGCAGGATTTAGAGTGAGGTTTGTTAATAGCACTATTATGCTGCTTCTTCTTACTGGAAGATGTAACATCAAGAAGCAAACCCTGACTCTACCAAGAAGGCCTCCTCCACAAGGAGAAAGTGTAGAACAAAGCATGGTAAGTTATTAATAGGGAAAAGATCATCCCCAGAGAGAGGCCATAGTCAATAATAGTGACTAGTGTTTTGTCTTCTGTCTGTCTTTTATTGAACACAACATCCAAAGTGTAGTGCCTTTTTAATTGTAAACTATTTGGAACTGTGTAAAGACTTACATATAGCAAGCAATGATCTAGGGTATACTATGTAATCAGCAACAAATGATGATCATACTTTCAAATAAGTGGCCAAAACGCAGTGATTGTGGGCTGCACCAGAGCATGCACCTTGAAATCAAAATTATACACAGCTGAAAACAGAAAAATAAGTTCCTAAACCACTCTACTGCACAATGGATACATTTATTAAATCAGCTCTCACACCCGTATATCCCCTATGGACCAAAGCAATTTTTAATTAACTGTGTAATTGCTTAAGATAATGAAGTAATACACATATTTTATATAGTTTTTTTTTAGAACAAACAAGAATTTCTTCTGGTGATACTGTCTCAGAAAAATTATTTCAATTTTTTTGCAACCCATAGACAAAAAAAAGATTTGTTTTAAAAAATTGTGTTACTGACTATGAAAAGCATACGTTTTGTTCTAAACGTTGCCCATTTTGAAATGACACTAAACATGTTTCTGGTGCAAATCATTCACATTAGTTGTTATTTACCATTTAAATAAAGCTGTGTTTTTCAATGTTGCACTTTTTAACTTGATATTAAATAAACAAATTGAATAAAAATGAAAAAAGGTTAAAAAATAGAAATAAAAAAAAAATTGAGCAGGAAACTAATAGTTTAGGGGAGAAGAGAAAAATTAGAAAATGAGTTAAATAGGGCTATTAGGGAAAACTAAGGGTTAATAAGGGATAAATAGAAACAATTTTCTATTTAAAAAAGCTTTTTTTTCCTTGTCAGGTTGCTTTAACTGACATTATATACAGATCAAAGCCAATCCCTCTGATCTGCAGATGAATGAATAGATACAAAGGCAGCAATGTTACTTTGTATATCTACATCAAATCTGGAAGATTTACCCCCCTTCATGACCAGGCCATTTTTTGCTAATCAACACTGTGCTATTTCAATTGGAAATTGCACAGTCATGCAAGCTGTACCCAAACTAAATTTATGTCCTTTTTTTCACACAAATACAGCTTTCTTTTGGTGGTATTTTATCACCAATGGGTTTTTTTTGTGTGATATAAATGAAAAAAGTTTGAAAATTTTGAAAAAAAACCCCAATATTTTCTACTTTTGGTTATAAAAATTATCCAATAAAATCAAAGTTAGTCATAAATTTATGCCAAAATGTATTATTCTACATGTCTTTGGTAAAAAAAAAATCTCAATACGTGTATATTAATAGGTTTGTGTGAAAGTTATAGCAAACTATGGTGTATATATTGGAATTTACACAGCTTTAGCTTTCTGACTGCCTAACACATTTCTTGAGGACCTAAAATGCCAGGGAAGTACAAATCCCCCCCAAATGACCTCTTTTTGGAAAGTAGATACCCCAAAGAATTTTCTGGGAGGCATGTTGAGTCCATGGAAGATTTTATTTATAGCCACAAAATTTGAAAAATGACAAAACAAATGTTTTTTTCTTTTACACAAAGTTGTCACTTTATATGGCTCACGCATGCCGTGGGTACATGTGAAATAACACCCCAAAACACATTCTGCTACTTCTCCCAATACCACATGTGAGACACTATCCACATACAGGCCCCCAAAATCCAATGATCACCTTCAGGATTTCAAAGGGCATATTTCCTCATATCACTTCCTCACTACCTATCACAGTTTCAAACAGTGATAGGTGTCAAACACCCCCCCCCCCAAAAAAAAAGGACCCCTTTTTGGAAAGTAGACACCCCGAGGAAGATCTGCAAAATACCCACCATGCCCCTTAGCAAATACAGTGGGTAAAATAAGTATTGAACATGTCACCATTTTTCTAGGTAAATATATTTCTAAAGGTGCTATTGACATGAAATTTTCACCATGTCGGTATCAACCCATGCAATCCATACATACAAAGGAACCAAAACAAATACATTCAGTAGAAGTTATGTGTAATAAAATGGAATGAAACCTTGAAAAGGTATTAAAAAAAAAGAGAAAGGGAGGTGCAAAAAAGCACAGAAAGCCAAGACACAAGCTGAAATTTTTCAGTAATTAGAAAGAAATCCTGCCCCTTGTCCGTGCAAATTAGTATCAGCTGATTCAGTCTCAACTGATGGCCTATAAAAAGGTGTTCCATTACCAAGGTATAAAACAAGAAACATCTCATGATGGGAAAAAGCAAAGAGCTCTCTCAAGACCTTTACAACCTTATGTTGCAAAACATACTTATGGCATTGGTTACAGAAGGATTTCTAAACTGAATGTTCCAGTGAGCACTGCTGGGGCCCTAATCTGGAAGTTGAAAGATTTTTTTTTTTTTTTAATTTTATTATTTTTTTACACTGTCCCTTTCTTTTTTTTGGATCACTTTTACTGTTATCACAGGGAATGTAAATATCCCCTGTGATAGCAATAGGCAATGACAGGTACTCTTTTCTGAGAAATCTGGGGTCTATTAGACTCTAGATCTCGCCTCTGCCCTTAAAGAATCTGATCACATTAAGATTGGTGTGATCAGATGCTTTCCCAATTTTAAAATGGCGCTGTTTATTTCCGGCGAAACGGACATGATGAAATGCTCGTAGCTTCTGGTTTCTTAGACCATAGAGATGACTGGAGCCATTCTGGTCTCTGATCAGTTCTATGGAGAGCCCAAGAAAGCTTGTAAAATTGATGTAGCAGCTAATTGGCCACTAAGATTGCTTTTACATGAAAGCTGACCGCCAACTATAAAAAAAACGATTCCAGGGTGATGTCTGTAGCTGCAGGCATCATCCTGATATAACCATTCCAAGACCAGTGACGTACCAATATATTTCTCTTTCATGTTGGGCATATATGTAACAGCAGAGAATATGAGCATATGATGAATCGAGTATATGGACCAATATGACTGCAATTCATTCTCTTTCATCATGGCGATGTTGAGGGTTAGGCCCAAAAAAGTTTTAAATTCAGAAACTGTGATAGGTTGTCATGCAAATTGTTCGGCAACAGCAGAATTTGGGTAGGAGGCAGATGTATTGTTGTGCGTATAAATTGCTTTGGCCCACAATCAATTAGTACAAACTTTCTGTAAAAAAGAGCGGAGGGGCTAAACGCTAGTGCTGACAAGGAATGGGGCTGACACTATACAAAGGAGGCACAAGTATAGTTCTGTTCGTGATCAATATATTTATCTGTACAAACACTATACTAGTAATGGCGGTGATCAGTGACATATAGCATGAGTGTGCTAGTGTGCGGGCAATTTACTGCTACCTGACTGTGGCTGTGAAGGGCACTTACAAACCCTGACGCTATCAGATGTCGCTAGTGGCAGCAATACAGTGATCAGTGAAAAATTCTATATATTGACACTGTACTAACGGCTCTGGCTGGGTCATGGGGTGGTCAAAGGGTCAAAAGAGGCGATCAAAGGGTAAATGTGCTAATCTAACGTGTGTGTAAAATGTACTGCGGTGTTCTCTCTCTCTCCCTGGACCGACGGGGGGGGGGGGGGGGGCAGCGGAGGGTGCATGCATGTGCGCTCACACCAGGAAATAGAAAGCGATGTAAAGGTACGTTGCTTTGCCCAGAGCCGATGTTCGCCCGCACATTGTGGACAGGTGGTTGGCAAGCAGTTTAAAAAACTAAAAATTTAAAAAAATTTACAAAATTAATTTAATATTTTATTTTTATTTTAACATTGTTAATTTTGTTTTACTATTTAAAAGAAAATGCTTTCATCGGAGTAGTGCAATGTTACCATAGTAACATTGTATTACTCTGGGGGGGGTGTTCAGGGATTTTTTTTTTTTACACTTTGATTGCAGGCCAATCACAGCTTACCGGGAAGAGAAGCAAAGCTGTTATGAATCAGATTGTTTGACACCATGTGATCTTCATTCCGCTGTGTCCAGTGGAGCTGTAGTAGCATCTCTTTTTACACAGCAACTCTCAGATGGAATTACTAGAAAATGTAAGGGACGGCAGCAGAGGGAGTACTATACGTGCCATGTGTACAGTGGTTCAAATTGTGTCATAGGAACTTTTTTTTGTTGTCAACATCATATATATATGAATTCAAGTCTTTTGCTCACCAAATTTCTGTGGCATTGGCATGGGAAGTAGTTATCTGAAGGCTGTTCAACAATTTCCATCCCTTCTCTTATTTTTGGTTTGCTCACCTGTAGCTTTGCGTAAGCCTAAAATAAGAGAAAAACAACAGTAAAACAAAAGAAAGACTTGCTATTCAGCAAACATATGCAGTATAAACATATATGTATAGTGCTGTCTCTTTAAATGTAATAGTACATACAGCAGTAGTGCAAAATCAAAAACCAGTGTTATAACAAATAAAATCAAAATTAAAATCAAAATGACCAAAAATATAAAAATCAAAAATACCCATATCCACAGTGCAGCTGTTGCTAAAATAGAAATTAGCCTTGTAAAGGTTAATGGTCAGAGGAAATATGGCGCTTCTACAACCCAGTCCGCAGCAGAGCCCTATATTTCCTCTGACCATTAAACTGTACCAGGTTAATATTACCCCTTTCCATGCACTCCAGAAGGGAAGCTTTATTGTCTTTATTCAGAGAATTAATCCAAGCCTCGATCTCAGTGTTCATCACATTATTATCTATCATCACATACTGATCTGCTCTCTCCATGTGATCAGAGGCTGACCTATGCTCTCTTCCATGCTCTGACTGGGAGAAGCAGACAAAATCCCCGGTCTCTCCATGGGCCATAATCAGTGAGTAATCCCCTGTCCCAGCTGGGTCTGTCACATTATGAGACCAGGAAATTTCATCCTAGAAAATACTAGGTGGGAAGCATCCCATCCTTCCTTCATCCTGGTCTAGATTAGCATCTGTCTTTGAGTACCATCAATGGGCAGATCTTCATGGTCTTTCTGTTTCAGACATCATTGACTTTTCATTCCCCTAGTTAAAGCATTTGTGCAGTGTGACGTACACATCTCTATCTCTGGTTTTTCCCCTGTGACTTTGTGGGGCCTAACTTGGTTCTTTAATCCCCTCAGAGACAGCCATTTGTACCCCTCAAGGATATTCTCTTGTCTGAACTTATTTGCAAGGTGCTCTTTTTTTTGTTATCAATTCTGTGCAGACGGTCTCTGAGTTAGCTTCCTTTCTTTATTTCCCTATTGCTTGCTACAAAACTGTGGCTAGCTGAGAGGGGAAGGGGGTATATAGGGGATGTCCTTGAAACTTTCTTTTTTGCCTGTGTCCAATAACCTTAACCCCTTCACGCCTAAGGGTAAAACAAATCTAAATGCCTAAGCACAATTCTGCAACGTTGACGTGTTAGTAAAACCGTACATATCGTCACAACTACTTTGTACATCCAGGTGGATTATACCTTGTTTTTTTCAGGACAAATTGGGCTTTCATTTGGTGGTAAATGGTCATGGATAGCTCCTAATTTTTTTTTTATTATTAAAGGAAAACTGGGCCAAAATAGTAAAAAAAATCTTTTTTTAAGTTTAACTGTGTGCTTCTTGTTACAACCATAACCTACCACCAAAGAACAACTCAAAATACATTCTCCAGTTCTTGACGATCGCAGCGATACCATATATGTGTATGTTATTTGTTGTTTGTACCCGTAGTACAGTCCAGAAACAACAGTGCGCATTTTGTTTTTGTCTTTTTTTTTTTTATATAAAACACACTGTCACTGACATTGACATTAACACTAACTGACACTGATACCAATTTTTTTTTTTTAAATCCTGACCTTTGACCCTGACCTTTGCCCTTGACCCTGACCTTTGACCCTGACCTTTGACCCTGACCTTGACCCAAACACTAACCCTGGTACTGAACTAGATCAAACCTTGATCTAGGTATTTTTCTTTATTTTTTATTTTATTTTTTAATATTTATTTATCTTTTTTTTTTTTTTACAAACTTTTTTTTCTCTCTCTGTGTCGAGTTCGAGAGATACAATGTATCTCTCTTCTCCATTCATAGAGAGAGAGAAAACAAGGGGGCCGGGCTGCACAGTGATTGATCACTGTGATAGCCAATCAGAGGCTATCACAGTGATCACGTGACCCGGAATCGGGAGTCCCGGGTCCCGATCGTTAGAACGGGACCCGGGGCTCTCAGTGACACCGCGGTCTTGGTGCTGGGAGCGCGCCGAGCGGCGCGCTCCCAGCACAAAGACAGGTACGCAAATATGCGGCCCCACGGAAAAAAGCCCAGGTCCGTGAGGCCGCATATTTGTGTTACGTCGGCGTCAAGGGGTTAAGGTTGCTGCATTTTCCCATGGTTAAAGACTAAAATCCCATGTCCTCTACTGTACTCCAAGTAAGAGATTTTACTGGTAAGTCAAAAATCCTATTATATAATCTTTGCTGTTACCTAAACAGTAATAAAGTACAGTATACACTTGTAATTACTGCTACTTAGTTCTGATTTCCAGCAAAACAACCAGTCCTTTCATATCTCATGACTTGGTACTATAAATGTGAAGGTCAAAGCAATAAACATATGACGTTAAATATTAAAATATTTCAAGGTAATGAATTTTACTTCGATGTCATAAAGAAGTTAGAAGGATCAACATTTCATTGCTAGGAACTGGAAAAGCCTTAGTAAGCAAAAATATAATCAAATTTAATGTCTGAACTAAACCAATAACACAAAACATAAGTCCATAGGTAACAGGAAAAGCATGACATTTTATTGCAATATTACATTTTGAAAAGAAAGTGAACTACCCTGTGAGGTTAATGAGGGTCTTAGTTTTAGGGAGGAGCAGAAAGGCTTAAAAATTTTTGCTGTGATTTCTGTGCTGTGGGTGGTGGCAAGAACGACAGATAAAACCTAGAGACAGACACTTACTACACATAAGAAGACTGGTCATGACCTCCATCTTTGGACCTCTACAAAAGATGCTCGCCTAAAAGAAAAACTACTTCACTTTTTCTTAAGGTAACTAAGACAGCTGCAGTATTATGATCACTAGGAAGTGTAAACTTTGGAAAAAAGTCAAATGGCCAATAAAGGAAAGGTGTAGTATGAGTCATTGACCTACAGGACAAGCTGTTTAAGAAAGAACAGGGAGGGAAAACGTTCTCACGCAACATTTCTGAAGATTATGAAGTTACTAAATTTGGCAAAACAAAACAGTAGACAGATGAGATGGCCTTGAACACAAAGTAGAGAGGTGTAACAAAATAAACGACAGAACTATGAAAGCTATGTTCACATGCTACATACAGACTGATGGAATGTATAGCTTTGCTCACGCAATGCAATGGGTTGGGTAATGAACGGGTGCCGAAAAGTACCTTCAAGATTTAAAGGTTTTATATGGGGATGTATGTTGAAGGCATAGGGGAAGATTTACTAAATCTAGTACATTCAGAATCTAGTTCAGCTGTGCATGGTTGCCAATCAGCTTCTAACGTCAGTTTGCTCAATTAGTCCTCATGCACACTGGACGTTTTTACAGCTGCTGTTTTTGGCTTTTGACATTTTTTTCTACAGCCAGTAAACTCCCCAGCATGTTATCCTATGTGTCCATGCACACATAGCCTGTAATCAACGTTTTTTGGCAGGGGCGTTTTTTGGCTGGAAAATCCAGAACTAGTGGGTTTATAGAGGAGTTTTTTAGCTGTAAAACTGCTCTAACGCTGAAAAATGTGGTAAAACGTGGCAAACCAGTGTTTTTGGGTGGTTTTTTTTTTTTTACCAAACGTGACTTTACACAGCTAATGTTACCAGCTTTATTAAAATGCCCAGTAAGCATGGAGCCTTAAGTTTTGGCAATAAAACTCGAAAGCTGATTCGTTTCTATGCAGAGCTGCACCAGATTTTGCACTCTCCAGTTTTAGTAAATAACCCCCATAGGTGGGATTCCTCCATTCTGCATTAAGTAAATATAATATATGATCCTTATATTGTGGACTGTGGGCTCTGCAGGCTCCTATTTATTTTTTTTTAAAATGCTACCAAAGTGTTCAGTTCTGGAGGTTTAATTAGTATTAAGGACTAATTTTAACAATAAAGTTTAAATATCTAGCCACAAAGGCATACAGTACTCATGGATGTTAGCTGCATTCATAGATATTTTTCATGGATCTATATGACAATTAAGCTGCCTGTGAGATGTCTGACACCATTTACCAGGGGCGCACCAACAGGGGTCGCAGTTGTTACAACTGCAGGCATTCAGCGGCTGGCTGGGGAAAATGAAGGGGACTGGTTCCTCTATATGCCGCCCCTCCTCTGCCTCTCCTATCCAGGTCCCGCTGCCTGCGAGCCCCTTTGTGATCCTCTTACCCCAACTTGCCTCCCTGCAATGCTGCCAGCTTCCCCCCTCCCCATTTCTGCCGACGGCTGCAGTGGATGTGTCAGGATGGAAAGAAGGGAATAGGCTGGTAAATATGTTATTTACTGGTTCCTTCCTTTTCTGAATAGAAAAGATTACTGACTCTATCCATTCATAACTTAGTTTACTATACTTCAGTTTGTGAATGAATGGGAAGCTCTGTACAGCGCTATTCCTGTCCATTCATGTGCAGTTGGGGCTGCAGAGATGGAGATTGAGGGTTGTGTCCTCAATCTCCTTTCTGTCTCAAAGGTGAAACATCAGAGGTCTGTTTAGACCCCTGATAATCACCACATCCCCCAGGGGGCTCCTAAAATATTTGTAAACAATAATAAAAAAAAAATACATACAAAAAATACAATGGTAAAAAAACAACAAAAAAAATAAAATAACAAAATTAAAAAACTACTGACCCTAGTGGTTGCAAAGATTGCACCTGCGACAGAGCCATGACATTCCACCACTGTGGGGGCCCCAAGACATCAGGAAGAAGGCCCACAGCAGAACATGTGAAATGGTCCTGCTCTAGGGTCGTAATAAAGGGGAAGTGCCCTGGACCCAGAGGGAAGGGCGCTAGCTGGGGGTTAGGGGGGCCCCTCAAGGTTACTTGCACTGGGACCCTAAAGGTTCTAGTTATGCTTCTGCCTTGAACATGAGCTTCAGGAGATCATTGACAGACAAGGATTGGCTGGGTTGGAAAATTTTGACCAACACTGTATTGTTATATTGTTCTTGAAAAGAAAGGGCTTTCTGAAGCTTCAGACTGCAAAAACGTACGATAAAAACATGCATGTGTATGTAACAATGGAGAGATCTTTCAGCTGGCCACACATATAAAATTTTGATTGCCTAGCATTATAACCATCACCCCTTTTACTGTGATACTACAGGTTAATTACATCATATCAACTGCAAACTAATAAGTAATCTTCCAATTTCTTGTGATTAACTTACAGAAACACCTTTGACCAGACAACTTTCTTTTGCTGTCTTCTTTAAATGTTTTGTCAAATTATTCATCTAAGAAACAAAAAAAGTCACTATTGTGTCAGCCTATTTAACGGTTCCTCTCCTGGAGCACAAATAGTTTATTGTATTTATTTTGAATATCTATCAAATCTAGAGAATTGCAGAAGACCCAGCATATCGCATCAATCTTATCTAGACTACTGTGCACAGATAACCCATAAGTGAGTATGTTAAACTAATCTAAAATTGTGATATTATTCTAGCCTTTTTTAGCTAAATGAAGAACAAAGGTCAAGGTATCTTGATAGGACTTGAGATAAACCAAAATAAAACTACTGTAATGCACTACGCAGGCTGGTGTGTAAAAAATCATATAGATGAAATCTTGATTAAAGGAGGAGATAATGTGGCAGGCTATTGCACAATAACAGGCACAATTATGAAAAGTCTGTGCCAAAGCAATTACTGTAACATAATTACTGTTCTGGAGAAGCATGAGAAAGGTGCAGAAAAACCGAGAACATGGCATCAAGACTCTTTTTCCCCAGGGTTTCCAAAGTTGGTCACTCATAAAATAATTTCTGGTGATCTTTTAAAGGAAATCTGTAGATAGAGAATATGTAGGCTACCATTGCTGAACTCTCCTTCTGAAAATGCTGCTTGCACTGCCAATTCAAAGTCAAGAGTTCAGATTTTTGCGGCTTACTTGTTCTGGCTCAATGACACCAGAGACACTTCAACAACTTTTTTACAACAGTACATTAACAGTATTTTCAGAAGGGGTACAATAGCATAACCATATTTCTCTTACTATAGGTTTTTACCATTTAATGAAGGCCAAAGCTGTGAAATACAGATTTGTTCAGTCATGAAATGGAGTAGTATAGAGATTAATATGCCTGATTATTATTTTTTTTGTGATAGCAACATCAAGTAAAATCAAGAAACAAAAATAATCTTACATAGAGATTGCAATCAGTTGGAGTCATAGATTTTGCAATCAGTTGGACATATTAGTAAGGTTACCCAAAGTTGCCATTATGCAGTGCAAACTGCATTAAAGTGTTACTAAACCCACAACAGTAAAATCAGTCTGTATATGCAGTAAATCATACTTGTTATACTCACTGTGGAACCTAAGGGATTAATCCTCTGCATTGTGTAAAAAGGCTGTTTGACCCTTTCTTTTCTGCCCTTCCTCTTGTTCAAAAGCTCACCTGATACAGACTGAACCCATGGTCACATGCACATGCTCAGTTTGGTGTGTATTGCTAGAGAGGGTTTTTTTGGGGGGGAGGGTGCATGCGATCAGCACAGAGCCAATCAGCACTGTTCAGACAGAGGGTCAGAGGTTTCACATCCTCCTAGAACAGAAAGAAAGCTCCTCCTACAAGCTTTAACCAGTGCTCTGCTGAAGTCACAAGACTGCTCTAACTGCTGATGAGAAAAGGTATTTACCAGTTTATATTTACTAAAATAATTTAGTAACACTTTAATCCATATTAACCATACAGAAATCATCACATACACAGTATGATAGTTTTACAGGTTGCTGCATATTGCACATTGTCACGGCTCTTCACACTGCCAGATAAAATACGATTCAATATAAATTATTTTTGTTCTTGGGTGCAGAATTTAGTTAGGTCACTCTATGCCTCTTGTATCATAAGGGAAGAGTTAATAAAACTGGTGCACTCAGAATCTGGTGAAGCTGTGCATGGTAGCCAATCAGCTTCTAACTTCAGCTTGTTCAGTTAAACTATGGCAATAAAACCTGAAAGCTGATTGGTTTCTATGCAGAGCTGCACCAGATTTTGCAGACTCCTTTTTTAGTAAATAACCCCTTCAGTGTCTAAAGAAAAATATGACTACCTGCCACGGGCAATACATCGCATTTTTTAAAAGACAAGTTCATTTTATTAAAAATAAAAATTGCACGTCTTGTAGGTAAAAAATGTGCATTTCTTTATTTTTTTTTCATTAGGAGCCTGTAAAGCATTGCACCCACAATCAGCAGATCACAGGTGCAATGGAAGGCTCCTGCAGACTGTTAGTGTATCTGTCTGCTCATAGCTGGTACAGGCAGACAGTTAATGAATGACAGGAAAACTCAAGGATCTACTTAGAGTGCTCATCAGCACCCTGGTAATTTATTGAGAACTGCAAGCTGTCAGACACAATGGCTGATGGTAGTTGTAGTTGAAGATCCCTGTGAATGAATGACATGGCTGGGTGAGAGTAGCCCTCATGGCCAGGTTTTGGGGGTGCAGGGGCTGCTGCACCAGTAACATGTTACATGAATACAGGTGTAACATGTTAAAGGTGAACTTATCCTTTAAATGCAGTACAGAGTAACAAATGGCACAAGATGAACTTTGCATGGCCAAATACCATATTTTAAAGCCAGTTCACACCACAGAAACACATTCCAGATGCATTTTGGATGAGTTTTTGCTTACAGTTCACACCACACTCCATTCTGGTGCATTTTTGATGTGTTTTGCCATGTTCCAGTACAATTCTGTGCAGAAAACATGCAGTATGTTCTACTTTTTGTTCTGTACCGGATTGCACTGGAGTGTACATGTGTGAACTATGGCCTTTGGAATACAAGGAAAACACTGTACATGCATTTTTGATGCAGTAAAAAAAAAGCACTGGACTGCATCGGGTGTGAACCAGAAATAGATACTATGAGTAGCAGGTTTGCTGTAAAGCTTTCTTCTGTCACACCTCGAGCCAGAAAAAAAAAACAAGGTAAGTATATCATTTTGACTCTTTCCAGTGCTTATTGATTACAGAATTTTTCACATTTCAAATGTATACAGTTTATTATAATGAACGTACATACCTGAAAAAGCTTAAAATAATAACAGAAAATATGTTCTCCCATTAGATTATTCCTTGCAAATTCCTGTCCTGCTTGTGCAATTTTTTTGGCCTGTAAAATAAAAATATGTATGATCTGTTATATGGCCATAAGCCAAACACAACTACATGTTCTTTTACACAATTACTAGAGCAAAATGCTGGATTTATCATTCTATTTGCATCAGTATCTTAGTATATACAGCGGTTCAACCCAAAGTTTGGGTGCTAAGAAGGAGTTTGGCTATCAAGAAAGGGGTTGGACTACTAGCTGGCTTTTTATCTCTCTGAAACTGTAAGGGTTAAACTTCTCTTTAGTAGAATGCCTCTCCACCTATTTCCTAAAAACCATACATACATGACATAATGAAGGAGCTGCTCTTACAACTAGACTCAAAAGTTATATATTTGCCATTATGAGAATCTCATGTCATACTCTGACATTTGAATTTGCTACCTGCCAAAGAAAGTTTAATTTTCTTCTTAACCAGCATTGTAATCCAGGCATCCTGCCAGACAGCATAGCCATGTTCTGGATCTTTCAACAGAGTACACTGAAGTTAAGCAATACAGCCTAGTCCAGGACCCAATTCAGCCTGTGACTGGATAATGAAGCATCAACAATACATTGATGCAATCATGTCTCTGGTCTGCCCTTTGTAGGCATGTTCATATATGTACTTTGCAAAATAAAAGAATCCTGACTGGGCAGGCTAATGGGCAGAATATTATACTAGTTGTATGTAATTTCAATTGATGTGTAACTCAAACTGTGTGTTCTTATATCTGTTTGGAGTTCAGCTTTAACTTGCCAGCAACCACTCAACATTGATATACTAGTTTTGGGACCAATATCAAGCTGATTACATGAAATGGTGAAAAGGTAAAAAATTAAGCTTTGTTATGATGCAACTTGCATTGCTTGCCTTAGAGGAAAAAGTGACAGGGGGTTATTTACTAAAACTGGTGAGTGCAAAATCTGGTGCAGCTCTGCATAGAAACCAATTTGCTTTTAGATGCTGATTGGCTACCATGCACAGCTGCACCAGATTCTGAGTGCTCCAGTTTTAGTAAATCTACCCCAGTGTCTCTGAAAAGGAGATCTCCCTGACCCCCTATACTCTCCTTACTAGCGATCGCTCATTGCTTCTTCTTCCTAAGTATCTGGCACTAAAATGCACGTGGCAGTGATGATTTCACTCCCATGGTCATGTGATAGTGCTCAGGTCTAATCATTGGCTGTTAGCCCTTAGCACTGTCATAGGGGAGGAGGTCGCATGTTCCTCCATTCCAGAAAGTACCTGTTATTGTTACTAACTGCAGAAGAGCAGGAAAAGGTGGGGAAATGCTTGTAAAGGGAGTAAAAGTGGGTCAAAGCCTTCACAAAGACAATGTCACTTTGCCTTGAATGGGCAGGATGACAGTGTAGAAAAGGAAAAGTAATGTAGTATTTACAGAAATAATGGAAAATGTATTATTTTCACATACTCCTTGCTTGCTATTCCATATTTTAACAAGCACATTTTTATATCCAGAATAAAAGAACCTCCTAGTGGCTATCTGCAGGTATGAAAACTTCAGTCAGAATGCTTAGTGAACATTTAGCAAGACAATAGGATATGTTATCTTTTGTATGTATTGTTTTCATTCATTCTGGGCTGCACTGAGAAAGGAACGTTCATACACAACATGCATAACCCTTTTGCAACAGTACTAAAGATGCACAGCCTACATACTGTATGTACTGAGAAATATGTCTGCCTCCATGTTTGCGCATAGCCGTTACCTATAAACAGAAACATCTATATAAGCATTAAAATACATAAATAATAAGAACATTTTGAAGATGCATGTATGTTTACCTCAATATCATGATCTTTGACCCACTTGATCTTCTCAAGTAAATCACTAAGGTCTTTTCTAAAAGGCACATAATGTTTCCAGGGTTGGAGCTCACTGTAGAAGTGTTCATAATATATGGAATCCTGCTTAAGGATCACACTATTCCCAGCAAGGAGGTATGGCATTCTGTATGCTGCCACAGTTCCATCAATAAGGATTTGATATTTGTACTAAAATAAAATAAAATAAAAAAATTAAACTTTGGCAATTTTTTTTTTCATATACTTTAATTCATCTAATAAAGATAAGGTGGAAATTCTCTGTAGTCCTAAATCATTTCCTGTCCAAGACAAGACTGCTCTTTTATAAATACTGTACAATTATTTATGACTGGTCTCTGTTCCAAATAAGCCTCATTTACAACCTCATTTTATATCTATCCTTTAGCAAACTTTATATCCACTGAACCACCCAAAGAATAAGCCCTAGCATTTATAACTTTCTTACGAGATCATTATGTGAAACAGTATTACCAGTAAATGCTTTGCAGAAATCAAGATCCACAGTATTGTTGTGGTTCAAAACACTTGTAATATAGTCAAAAAATATATTGGATTAGTCTGACATGATCTGCTCTCAGTAAAGTCATGTTTTTTGGGGTCCAGCAAGCTGTGTGTTTTAAATGATCACTGATCTTTTTCTAAATGATTCCATTCATTTTACTACAACAGATGGTAAACTCACTGGCCTCTAGTTGCCAGCTTTTTCCTTTCTCCCTTCTTGTGGCTGGGTATAATTTCGGCTGTCCTCCAGACAAGGGGAATGTCTCATATTAGAAAAGATTGATTAAACACATCAGCTAATGGAGCTTTTCCTAGATTTCTGGGAAGAATAACATCAGGGACTATTGTTTAATGAAGTTTTAAGAAAGCCAGTTCATCTACCTCTGCATCTATAAACCCTGAAAATGTATCGTCACTCTGAGAACCAATACAATCCTCCAGCATGCTTTTGTTAGTGTCAGGAGGATCACCATACATGTTCCCATCCAGACATTTTGTAAATAAGTAAAGATAACAGCACAAAGGTTTGATGACCAAACTTGCTATATACTCCCGATAGGGAACACCTATTCCTGTGGCCTTCTGAACCATTACTGAATACATATTCTGAATAAATACAGTTTATCTACATATAGTACAAGGCAAGTGTAACAGTAATAATTTAGATAAACTTGCACCATGCCTGTCCTTGTGCAGTACAAAGGAGAAGGTTATAGGTCTTCGTAATGTTTCACTAACAGTTTATTGCATGTTAAAAATGTCCTTTAAAGGGTAGGGCTTGTGTAAAAATACCACAAGATATTCTTAGAAATAGCTGCCTCTGTCATAAGAGAGCTTTTAGCCCTGGTTCACATATGTGCGTTTCTGTGGGCCTCGTTTTGCGTGGGCACAAGAGCCCATTCATTTGAATGGACTCCTGTGCCCCAGGACACGCAGGGAAGAAGTCCCTGCACGTCTTTGGAAACTGCAGCCCGCATGGGAATCTCAGATCCCAGTACGGTTGCGATTTCCAGTGCGGGCGGCATGCCATTAGAATTAATGGCACCACCAGCAGGTCCACATTCTTCTGTGTGGGTGGTGCGGCTGCACGGATTTTTGTGCGGATCCGTAGCGGCACCACCCGCACATATGTGAACCTAACCTAAAACTGTATCACCTCTTCAGGATAAAAACATGAAAAAGTCAATGCTTCATTAGCAAAGACACAGCATCAAAACAAATACTACAATTAAAAGGTAAGTTCACCTTTTGGACAAAAATAATAAATGCACATTTTTTTGCAGGTAAAAAATGTGCATTTATTATTTTTGTCCAAATGAGCCTGGAAAGCATTGAACCTGCGATCAGCAGATCGCTGATGCCATGCAGCTATCCTGCAGACCTGTCAGAATATCTGTTTGCCATATGGGATGTAAGAACAAGCAGATATTCTGAACAGGAAGCTTCAATGAGCTACCACAGCGCTCCACAGCACCATGGTAGTTCATTGAAAACTACAAGCCCACAGCCGCTAATGCTGCTGGGACTTGCAGTTCATTCATTCACGAGTGAATGAATTACGCGGCCGTGTTTTCAAATCTGACAGATAGTAAGGGGAGACTTCTCCCCGAAGTATCTGTCAGAGGGAGGCGGATGGCGGGCGTGGCTTTGGCTATGAGAACATGTTACATGTTCCACCCTAAAAATGGGTGGAACATGTAACATGTTCCCAAAGATGAACTTATCCTTTAAGTATTTACATCTTGCACAGCCCACTTCTGGAATTTTATTGCAAATGCACACTGGTTTAAGAATAAGGGAGTTTCACTATAAACTATAAGTGGTCCCTGCTAAATACCTTTCTGTGTAGCAACAAAGAGGGGACCTCCCCTTCTATACATGCTACTTACACCCTTTGCATCCAAGTGTAAAACCAATGTTAATGCCTAAGCACAATTTTGCAACATTGACGTGTTAGTAAAACTGTACATATCATCGCAACTACTTTGTGCATCTAGGTGGATTATACCTTGTTTTTTTTCAGGACAAATCGGGCTTTCATTTGGTGGTAAAAGGTAATGGGTGTCTCCTGTTATTTTTTTTTTTATTATTATTATTATCAAAAGAAAACTGGCCCAAAATAGTAAAAAAAAGTTTTTTAATTTTAGCTGTATATTTCTTGTTACTACCATACCCTTACAAAAAAAATGGCCACTGCCCCAGTCTAGAACTGGCCTTCACAGCAAGGAACACATGGACAGGTGACGCATGTCAAACAACAAAACAGAAAAGTTCCCAGCTCAACTTGCCAGCAGCTTGCAAACAAACCAAATTAACCTGCCTAACAGTATGAGTTAAAACAGGGGTTTGGTTAGCACACATTTGCAAATACATACGTAAGCTACAGAGCCACATCACAGCACAGCTAACTAGCTATAACTTCACTACCTGATGTAAGATTGCTATTAACTAGTAAGTAGCTGATATTACACTTTTATTTGTATACCTGATCAACGTGTACATATTGTACTGCTTAAACTTTTCCATTAAAATTAATTGAAAGAGAAATCTGAAGCCATCTCTGTTTCTGGAGGCTCTTGATTAGGACTGTAGGTGCCATACTAAGCACCTTTAGGTGTGAAACATGTCCAGATCTGATTTTAAACTTGCCATCCTTTATGCCTTGACTTTGGACTAATTAAAACCACCTCCAATTCAGCAAGCTAATCCTAGGACCTGTCTTTTACATTGGACCTAATACATATCACCGATTTAACAGAAAAACAGGTTTGTATTGGTTAAATACCAGTGTATTAATATAAACTGTGTTATCTAATCATTAACAAATGTACGTTTTAAACCTTATTACAGGTATAGAGCAAAGATAATACAAATAATGTCAAACAATGTTTTGTAATGGTAAAAAAACATTAAAACAAGAGATTAAAAATAACCTCCTAACTGCCAGCCAATTACAGCCTCATAATGGTTTATAACAGTGCACATCTTCACTTATCAGTGTACTGACTTACTGACTAAGCTTGATAGTTTGAAAAGTTCTTCTTTTCCATAGACTTGGTAGACTGTTGTACAATATCTCAGCACGCAAATTAGAGCTGAAATTTGGGCGATACTTTTTATAGCCCAGCCTAAATGACACCAGCATAAACAGAGCTCTTAACTGCTACCAAAGCGTTGGCATCACAGCTTGAAGTACCTGTAACTCTTGATAGCATCATGACTAAACAGTATGCATCCTAAGGACAACAATGTTCAGATGGTAATTTAATCAACATAGAAATGAGTTCTGCTTAATTGCAAATGAATTGGATTTTATATAGTTAATTTTCTAGCACAGCTGATTGCAACACTGATGAACTGGCACTCCAGACATGCAGTGGTAATAATAATCCCATTCAATGTCACAAAAGATACTCAGAGTCTGCTGCCCATAAAAAGTCATTTAGCCTGAACATCATCAACAGTCACTTGAGCTGCGGCAGATTCACAGACAGATAAAATGATGTACGAGCACAGGCTAGGCACATATTCCCCATACCAATCTTTTCTATTATGACACAGCTTAAAGCATTTTCACTGAAGAAAACTATATTGATCTATAAACGTCAGCAAACTCTGCTTTGACAACATAAAATGGAATTATGTGTTGCTTCAAGGAAGGGTAAACGTTTCTTTTCGTTTCCAAGAAACAATTTAGATTTATGGCTTGGGGAAAAGGAGACAAGTTTTGTTTAGTGATTCTGGAGTTTGTGTTTAAAATGCTTATAAAAAGGTCGATGACCTCAGAACTTTTCAACAATGAGTAGCTGTGGCGAAAGGATGCTCTCAAGGAGAAGTCAGCATGAAATGTCAAACAAGCTTTGGCAACCGTGTCTACATCAAATGCTCTTCCCTCCATAACTGCGTTCCGCGCTTTGCTCATAATTAAACAAGCCTGCACTGGTATTATCCTCTATTTCAGTTTATGACCGCTAAGAAGATGTGGAGGCTTGCTTAAACAAAAGTATCAAACCACATCTTTAGAGATTTACAATTTTTGACTCTGGATATTGAGCTTATCAAAACTCGCCAAAGGCATTTGACAGCAGTTTTGTTTTCTTTCTTTAAAGTACCCTATACATTATTAAAGTTGCTGCACATATTCTGGAGAAACAATATCAACAAGCACAGCCAAATTTAGCCAATGTATTTATCTTACTATTTGTTCACAAGGTTGTCTGTTAAGTTCTATTGTCTGCTAGAGTCATTCCAGTTCTTATTTAAAGGAAACCTTTGAAATAAATATGGAGTCTGCCATTAAGTCTCATTCGCACAGGTGTACCTATGCGTACACATATACAAAGGGCCGTCTGCCTGCACAGTTGTCCTGTGCATCCGTGTAGTCAGTCCCATTCATGTCTGCTGGGATGCATGAGCTGCGCAGACACAGCCGCTGCTCATAATCTGACTACAATGTGGGTGCCTCTGAACACTCTGGGGGAGATTTACTAAAACTCAAGTGCAAAATCTGGTGCAAATATGCACAGAAACCAATCAGCTTCCAGGTTTTATTGTCAAAGTTTAATTGAACAAGCTGAAGTTAGAAGCTTATTGGCTTCCATGCACAGCTGCACCAGATTGCTCCAGTTTTAGTAAATCCCCCCCCCCACATCATCTGCATTGGGGGA